TTAGCCCGAGGTACACGACCTCTTTGGACCATTCCACCCCTTTGCCGTTCAGGTAGATCTTGTTATTCTCCGACGGAACAAGTCTGGGAGATTTAGAGTGGGGAAAGATAATGACCTGGGTCTTAACCGCGTTGATACGGATCTTCCAGCTGTTGAAGTATTCAGACAGGACGTCAAGGCCTCTCTGAAGTTTGGTAGTCAGAGCTCCGATGACCCTACCCTTGTAGACGATGGATGTGTCATCTGCGAACAGAGACAACGATCCACCATCAGGGAGAGCCGGCATATCGGAGGTGAACAGGTTGAATAGGATGGGGCCAAGGATGGTTCCTTGTGGAACCCCGGCACCGATGTTGAAAGCATCCGATGTGATGCCATTCAGAGATACTTGGACAGACAGGACTGATAAATAGTTGTTTATTATCTTCACTAGGAAGATTGGAAGACCGTACTGCTGCAATTTGAACACCAGGCCATCATGCCAGACATTGTCGAACGCTTTTTCAACGTCCAACAACGCCATGGCAGATGTTTTCAAAACAGACTTGTTCCGTCTGAGAATGTTTGTCACTCGAGTCAGCTGGTGGACGGTCGAATGACCTTTCCGAAAACCAAACTGTTCCTCGAGTAACAAGTTGTTTTGTTCGGCAGATGTTAGGAGCCGGTGGTACACTGCTCTTTCGAACAGTTTTGATAACCCTGAGAGAAGGCTGATTGGTCGATAACTTGAAGGAGAGGACGGATCCTTCCCAGGTTTCCGGATGGGTATCACTTTAGCTGACTTCCAACACGATGGAAAGTAGCCAAGTCTGAGGCACTGATTAAAAATCAGTGCCAGATGGTTGTAGAATCTGGAACTCAAGTGTTTGAGTTCCAGATTCAGGAAGTTGTCGAAACCTGGGGCCTTCATGTTTTTAGATGATTTGATAAAGGCCAACAGTTCGTCAGCCGTAATCTCAGATTCCTCTGGAAAAATGTTAGGAATCTGATGAAGATCGGTTGCATTTTCAGCAACCTCAGATTCATGAGGGCTGACGATGTTTTCTCCGAGATTATGGGAGCTGACGAATTGTTGACCTATCGCGGCAGCCTTCTCTTCAGGAGTTATCAGATGAACCACTGGGTCGCCGGGACGATCCAGTGGGGTCAGTGGTGGAATGGGCCTAGGCTTGTTTTTAAGAATGTTTGTAAGTTTCCAGAAGTGCTTAGCACAATCTGGGAGAGAGCGGATCTTACTAGCATAATCTTTATTTCTGAGATCCACCATCCTGGCCTGAATGATCTTTGTTAATCGATTACAATTGGTCTTCAAGTTAGGCAGGCCAGTACGCTGGTACTGCTTACGAATGGTGTTACGGATCTTTGAGTAGGGTTGTCAAGGTTCAGAGTGTTACTCACCTGTCTGGATACTGGCACGTGTTGCTCCCTGGCCCGGGAAATCGCCTCCTCGATGGTTTGTAGACACCGGTCAACATCTTCGGACGTCCCCGGTTGGACATCGTAGTCGATGGTTGTGTCGACGCAGTGTTGATATTGCCCCCAGTTGGTGAACACTCATCATAGGAACCATTGTATATACACTCAACTTCGAAATGCAGCATTTCAGTTTTTTTTTAAATGCATTTTTAACAGAAATATTCCAATTTGAAGTTGACCAATTTTTGCGCGTTCCAGACTTTATAACCATGATAAACCGTTAGAAGCGCACTCCTAGGCACAAATTTGCTAACACGATCAGAGAGACGAAATTTTCCTTTGGACGTGTTCTATATAATCACTAGAGATGTTGCGATACTACTGATATCAGTTAAGTATCGATACTTTTATTTCGATACCAAGTAATTAAGTATCGATACTTTACAATCGATACTTCTCCAATATCGATACTTTTATCGTGGTTTCGCGGTATCGGTATCGAATCGGATGGAAAAACAAGTAACTCGATTTAGTTGACGTTGACGGCACCGTTGCTTCTCGCGCGTATTGACAGTTCTTTTGGGAGGACATGAAGTCAGTTTTTCCAGCGCTGTATCAGCAGGCTAGGATGCATATGGTCAGCATGGCAACTTCTGTTCCATGCGAGCGACTCTTTTCAAAGGCTGGATCTATAATTACTGAGACCAGAAACCGATTGTCAGCAAAATATTTACAGAAACTAATATTTCTAGCAAGCGTCGATGATGCTGAATGGTTCAATTAGTTGGTTTAAATGCTTTTGTTTTTAATAAAATGATACAAACTGTTCGTTATTGATCTTAAACATGGACTTTTAATTTAAATTCAATCACATTGCTTTTTTACCAAATGATTCGATACTTTGTTCAGTATCAGTTATTCGATACTAGTATCGAATCAAGTATCGATACTTTTAAGTATCGCAACGTCCCTAATGATCACCCCAAGATAGCGTAGGATCTAACACCGAACCTAAGTATTTGAAACTGGATACCTTTTCTATTACTTAAGATTCAATTGACGGGCTATTGTGCGGAAGATTTTTTTTTCGTTGGTGGGTGGAACACTACATATATAGTCTTGGATAAGTTTAACGAAAGTAAATATGTATCAAAGTATCTCATGAGAACTTTCAGATCATCGTTTATGCAAGAAACAATCGATAAAGAATCATGATTAGGGTAAAAAAGTGCTGTATCGTCCGCAAATAATTTGGCTATTCCATTAAGAGGTAATCTTCCATTATCGTTGATGTAGATCAGAAATAAGAGGGGGCCCAATATTACTTCCTTGAGGAACTCCTGCGTTTACTGGCCGGTGCGATCTTTGTGCATCTTTCAGTACTACAAACTGTTGTCTATCACTTAAATAACTACGAATAATGTCATTTGCCAGTCCACGTATGCCATAGCAATCTAATTTTGCAAACAAAATATTATGATTATGATTAGGATTAGGAGTATCGAACGTCTTCTTTAAATCAATTAAGAGGCCTCCTAGGGGGCGACCCCGGCGTAGTGGTTAGCATCCATACCTCTCACGCCAAAGTCACGAGTTCAAATCTCCCACGAATGACCCAAGAGCGTTAAAGTGACTATAATAAAAAAAGAGACCTCCCACGATACATTTATTATCAATTTGATTCAATAAAAAATCAACCAGCTCAACTATTACCGTAGAAGTACTACTTCCTTTCCTAAACCCGTATTGGAATTTGTACAAAACGTTAAATTTGTTAAAGAATTTTACAAGTCTATTAACTATCATATGAAAAAAAAATATTGACAATAGACAGCGTGGAAACAGGAGTCGCTCAAGTCGAGTAACAGTACTTAGTGGATTCAAATTATTTTTTGGAATATTAGCTGCGAGCTCTGCTCCAATGTTTGCAAAAAAATCGTTAAAAATTTCACAAGTTTCTAGATTAATCGATGATTTACATCTATTATTTGTATTGGAGCTCAGTATTAGAAACCTGGTTTGTCCTTCCCATTATTCCATTCAAGTTTTTCCATACTTTAGCACCACATGTATCTTCAAATATTTTTTGTAATATCAGTCATTTTGGCTACATGCTTAAGCATCGTTGGAGGGATTTTACTTTATTTTTTTCATATATGAGTAATTTTCCTAGTAATGATAAGATTCCCTGAAACTTAAACGTATTTTCAGAAAAAAATTAAATTCCCTGATGATTTCCGGTTTTTCAGGTTCTAGGTAGTAGGTTCTTGGATGTTTAGCCATAAACATTCTATTGAATCTTTCCCTTTAAAGGTTCCGTACATATTGAAGTGTTTTTGAGATTCGAATTGAATAAGTCTAAAATAACAAACATTTATTTGGTATGCCATCAGAACGACTAACTTTCTTCTCTTAGCTCACTTTTTAGTCACTATTCTTACAACTATAAGTCACTATTTGCTCATTCATTTCTTCAACATGGTCACTAAAATCACTATTTTTGACAGCATTGATTGTTACCAGCTCTGTAAATGCGTAAACTGCGCAATCATTGAAAAGGTCGTCTATTATTTGACTGTACACTGGAGTCGCTTTTTACGCGGTTTTTTTTACACGGTTTTTTTTACGCGGTTTTTTTTACGCGGGTTTCGGAATTTACGCGGTTTTTTTTTACGCGGATTCCGGAATTTACGCGGTTTTTTTTTACGCGGATTTTGGTTTTTTTTTACGCGGATTTCAGAATTTACGCGGTATATCGCTTTTTACGCGATTTTTTCTTACACGGTCTTTTTTTACTCGGTTTTTTTTACGCGGATTTCGGAATTTACGCGTTTTTTTTACGCGGATTCCGGAATTTACGCGGTTTTTTTTTACGCGGTTTTTTTTACGCGGGACGTATCACCCGCGTAAAAAGCAACTCCAGTGTATCATTTAATCATTTGTACATCACTTAAGCTTTGTTTCGACATAGTTATGAGGGGTAAACTACCGCTCCGTCCCATAACGAAAATCAGCGTTTTAAGTTTGCTTGGAACTATTGCTTCTGATGTAATGGATGGGACAACCAATTTGACTGTACTTTCAGAATAACGTTGATGACTTCATCCAGGGTATGAAAATATGGATAATTAGCTACCATTTGCATTGAAAACGACTATGGGACCGACGTTCAAAGAGCGGCAGTAAAGCCCTACAGTAAAAGTATGGACGTCTTTCAAAAGCTGTTCCACGGGGGTAGTTTTTGAGAAGTACTGCATAGTTTCAAACTATTAAAAAAAATGTTTGAAATATTTAGAACGAAATTCGCGATTCTTTAATCACGATAAACGAAAATACCCTAAATCTCATTGTCTACTTTTCTCATAAAAGTTCTTCATTCTTCCTAACTCGATAATCCCGAAAATATCGAATCGAGCTAGGAAGAGTTGACTGTATTGGTCGATTGCATACAACAAGAATAAAACTTCCACACAAGTCATCAGTGCAAGCTTCCCACATTGCGCATGTCCCATATCGTCAATTCCTGAGTGTTTCGAGCTTTCATCTAAAACGACCACCCTTTATCCCTTTTATCTCTCCCATAGGCTCTCTCGGCGACGAACTGACGAGCTTCGGTGACATCAGCGCCCTGGACGATGAACATCCGTCGTCGAAAGCCACCGGCAAGAAACGCAAAGCTTCCAAGGGCGGTAAAAAGCACGGTAAGAAAAGACGTTTCCGTTAATTTCTAGGCGTTCGTGCTGGACAACAAAACTATTCAACGTTTATTCTTTCCTTGATTAACGGTTATGATTTTCTCCGAGTATGTTCTTCGATTGATTTAGGTTTATATCTATGTTCTATGCTTATATATGTTTGAAACTTACTAGAAACCAACTGGGAACTGTTGATTTACCATTATCGTTCGTTTTCCAATTTTGCAATCGTTGATTTTCGTTCCGTTTAATTTGATTCTAATTAGAAGGTTTATCACAATAAAAAAAACTAGATTAAGCCATTGTGGGTACATGATGTTTACTGATCATGTGCAAAAGTGAAACAAAATAGAACGATGAGAAAATAAAACTAATAAGAAAACTTACAACAAGTTACTGTTGCTGAAATAAGAATTATTGATTTTTAAATGAAAATACAACTCACCAAGAGCCTTTATGATATATTTATACGAGAATATTTTCAAGTTTCTTCCAATTGACGCATGAATGCTCTGGGCTCACATGGGGGAGGAAAATTGTTCCCGGCGGTCGGGCACCACCTTTCGCGCCACAAATATATACAAAGATATTATACTAACGGTGTATGAAACAAATAGCGATTAAGTGCAACCATAGTTACATATATATGAAGAAGCATTAACAAGAGAACTAGTGAACAACGATCGATGTTCGCTGAACCAGAAACAGTTGTTGCCTTTTACATAGTGAATTATAACAAACAAATATTCTTTTTCTATAGACAAACAAGATAACATACACAGATAACACTCAGTTGACCAGTTTTGTGTTGAAATAAACAAAATGCAAGTATAAACAGATAACCTCAGATAAACATGAATCGTGGTGCTGCTGGGATCGCCTGGAATAATTTACTCACACCGAATTCGCCTGATCAGCAACCTGTTGATCAAACGATGGTGGCAAGATGATGCCCGGTAGTTTAGAAAATAATACACACATACAATTTAAAGAAACGGCATTATTTTGTACAACCATTACACAATAGTTGTATTGAAGGCATTAAACAAAAGAAACAATTTATAATCATAATCAGATACATTTTTATGACAAAGCGAACGCGCAAAGAGCAAAGAAGATAAACACTTGAATATTATTCCAACCACAAAACAAAAAAAAAGTTACTACAGATGAAATAATAATAACAATACCAGAATAAACAGATACAATTCGTCCAATTGTGCAGTGAAATGAAATCAAAATACGTACATGCAAGCAGAGTCGAATGGGATGCAAATACAATTACAGACACAGGAATGCCGTCGTGGAATACCGCGACATCTAGAAAGTAGATTAGGAACATAAAGATTCATCACCCTTTTTTTTATCTGTTAAGATCTTCTCCATTTAACTGTTTATTGCTTAGTTTCTGATTAAGTTTTCGTTTCCAATAAATGTTTCGTTTTTAGTTTTAGGTAAGTTTTGTTTATTTTTTAATTATTCGATAATATCATAAGTTCCTTTCGTTTATTGGTTGGTAATTTCCCTCATTTAATTTGAATACCTAAATTATTAAATGGTGTGATAGTTTCCATTTCCAAACCAAACAAGCCGTCAGTCAATCATCGAATGTTGATTTTTTCATGCGGTTTTGAGCGCTCTTCATCGACGGTGGATTCGGTAAACACAGTCAGCATTGATTGTTACCAGCAGTACCGGGTTACATAGCTATTTGCACGGATACTTTTTTTCTTCCGCCGACTCCTATTTGGGCGTGAATAATTTAATATTGATTTATGATGCAAACATAAATGACCGGTTGCGCGTGGTTTACCTGGCTGGCTGCGTGCATTTGTGCCCTCCTCCCAATCGTTTGCACCTGCATCCTGCCATCCTGTGCCAATATATTATTGATAATGGTTATCGGATCGTCATCGTAGTCGTTGTCGTCGTCGTAAACAATTGGCGAGCTTGGTCGTTTATGGCGGGGAAAGGGGGTTTGCGGGATATTAATTTATTTTTGCAACGTAATGAGCATGATCCTTTCGGTGCCCCTGATTGGTGGTTTAAGGGTTAGAGTGTATGGATTTTTTTGCTGCTTTGGTTGCTAGGAGCAATGGGATTTTTAGCTTTGATAATGTTAGATTTACGGCCTGGATGCTCACTGAAATGAATTAGACATTAGACAATGGATACCAACGTTTCATATCGCCAATGGGGCAATATGGCCACCCGCTTAAAAATCAAGTTATTGAACGTGTTTTACAAAAAAAAAAAATGCTTGAAGCGTACTTGAACTATGCATTTCATTTCATTTTAGTTTAAAACATTACTTTTCTCTAGTGCGAATATTTGAAAAATGTTAGACTAGCTCAAAATGTCAAAAATGATATAAGATTTCTGATTCAGAAAATAAGATCTATCAGTAGATTCTTATAACTTATCGTTATTATTCCTTAAACAGCTATATAAACGGTCATTGGTTTCTTATGAGACATGATGTTTTTGTAGTTTTCAATAAACATTACTTACGTACATTCGGGGCATTATGAGCACCACTGCACAGTAGTTCCAGAATGCAGATTTAGGTGGAAGGATATGTTTTGAGCCAGAAATTGAAACTTTAGGCTAAAAGTCTCTTCTTCAAAGTTGTTGCTTATAGTTAGGCTTTCATTTCTAGAGCAAAACAACTGTTTTTTTTAGAGACACCCCAACTCAATTCAAGAAAATAGCTCTAAATCGGTCAATTCAAGAGATACAAACAAGTTCTGTTTTACAAAGTTGCTTAAAATTAGCTCAGCTCAGTTGCCGAAAAATGTATACCCTAATTCCTTCAAACAAAAAAGTTAGATTTATGATTTCAATGACAATAAGAACCACCCTAGAATTAATTGTCATAAAAATGAGGGCCTAACTATAAGAAAGAACTTTGTAAAAGAGACTTTTAGTCTAAAGTTTCCATTTCAGGCTCAAAACATATCCTTCCACCTAAATCTGCATTTCAAACTGATATTTCAAACATCTTGTACTTAAAATTCTTCAATTTTGCATTATTACATTATCCACTTTATCATATGAAATCACATTTTGAAGTAGCTCAATACAACATAATATTCTTACCGGTTGTTTACAAGGGCGCTCATACCACCCCGATGGGGTGCTCATTGTACCCCAACGATTTTATTTCAGTTACATTTTTCAAATCTTCTTTCATAGGATTCAAAAGTTTTCTTTTATTATTCAATTTGTATTCATTATGTAAAATGGGCTTGCAACTATCAATAGTTGGTACATATCATTAGTGATGATTTTCTCAAGGTGGCCAAACTGCCCCAAGTTCCCCTAATAGCCGGTAAGGGAAACATTCCCCGAAAAATCGATGCAGTTTCAAAAACTCTACCGCGTTTGGTATTTTGACATAAATGTCGCTTAGCCATCTAATCTAATTTAACACCAACACAGCCAGTTCATGAAAGCATCCTGAAAAATGATAGACATACCTCCATCCTTTTTCTTGTCTATTTGGTATATTTTGTACATCAGAGATGCGCAAAATATATCAAAACGGCCAGGCCTACTGTGCAGCATTTAAGGGGCGAGATGATTCAGAAACATCGGGCCTGTTTAAATCAAAGATTTAAACACGATGTTTCAGAATCCAATAAATGGATGAAACGTGAACATCTCGTACCGTACGTTCCGTTGTTATAAATGATTGGGCGTTGGGAGCATCTAATCTAAAAAAGTTAAATGATGCTCAATTTTCCTCGAATGGTTAGACATGAGCACTAGCTCTTGTCTTAGCCCTATATGGCTTATGGTTATAGCGCCATTACTCGCTTTCTGAAAAGGAAAAAAATGGGATAAAAGGCCATAGGAAAAACGAAAAGGAGGAAGGAACCGAGGGGGGCGACACATCTAAATCTCAATTTTAGATGTTCAAAAAATCTCACACTATCGAATCAATCTTCGGAAAATCTTCTTGCATTTCTCGCATCTGCTTGCATCGAGCATCATCTTTTTGCAGGAAATCTTCAGAATCGTCATCAATCTTCTTTCTATCTACTCAGCGTGCAAGCAGCTAGCCACAGCACAACACAATCTTTCCTGCAGCGTAGATAGAGTCGTCCCCCTCGGAAGGAACCCTAGTTCAGAGCTTAAAATTATTGACTGCCTAGGCTGAGTGTGAAAGCACTGCACTATTCAATCCATTGCTCTGTGCAGACTGTTTGTACGGTTTGTACCAAACGGTAAAGGACGAGGCAATGAAAGAGCCAACAAAAACATTCAGTCACTCACGAGCAGGCGACGCACACCGCTTGCCTTCGCTCACACAGCATGCAATTGAGTCATTTTTCCATAGAAAATGCACGCTCAGTCATTCAAAACAAATATTGGGTACCATCACGGAAGAATAAACGTGTTGAAGGAGCTACTGACTGAGTGCTCGGCTGTCAGTGACTCGTTTACCTCTGAATCATTCAGACTCTCACGAGGCAGTGAATGATGAGGCAGATGGCAGTTCATCTTCATATCAAAATGACTCACTGTTTTGCGCACTGCCCTAGTTCTATCTTCCCTTGTGTAAAGAATGGAAAAAACGGGTCTCTAATAAATCTACAGGAAAATTTCGCTAAAACTCACAATGAGTCGCGAACTTTTCATTTTGTGTGCTTCATAAAACCTCGCAAAATTTTCCAACGCTGAACATGAACAGGTGAGAGATATATTATAAATTTAAAAACATATAAATGAAAATAAAGTTTCCTTCATTTTGTACTCTTACTATCCTGTTGCACTACTGGCACTTCCAAGACTTTTCCGGGTTATTGCGAAACAAGTTCAAAAATTCTTCAGGCAAATCATAATCACAAAAATGGAACTTTAAGGTACAAAACATCAAACGTTTAAAACTAGAAAAAAGCACTAGCACTACTCTCCCGAATGAACCAATTGGCAAATCTATGTTGGAACTTGGCCATACCCACTCGTTCCCAACCTTTGACAATAGCGCACCCGACATTTGATTTCTCATCAAAATACAGCACGAAAGTGGCTCTTCGAAATGATGTCTAAGACAAAGTTGTAGAAACCGAAACTGGTGACTATATAAACAGGAACGATCTCACCAAATAAACGATGGTTTACCCGTGAAGCAAAAACGTGGAGGACTGTTGCACCTCCTCCCGAGCAACACACATGTCCTATAACAGTTTTTATGACCTTTGTATGACTGGTTTTGGTTGTATAGCAGTTTACTCAACATAATTATATGAACTTGTGTTACTTGGGCTAGTTCTAGCTCAACACTTCAAACCATTCCATCGGATCTTCAAAGAAACTCTTGCACAATCCGCTTCCAATCCAATCAAAATCGCCTAATAACAGTTCGAACGAAAAGGATGCTGATAAAAAAAACACTTTGAAATGCATTTTACCCGATCACTTGCATTTGCTTTGCACTTAAGTTCTTTTCTAGAACTATGTTATCGAGTGGCACATTGTTGCGGGCTAAAACTGCTAAAACGCGATGAAAAAATCAATGACAAAAAAAATTAAGCCTAAAATTTTCGAACCCATGATTTTCTGCTCAGTAAGCAAAATTGGTTGCCACAAGGCCAACGAACTTCTTAAATCACAGAAAATTTACGATCAAGTTCCCATTCAACTTGCTATCACTAGATTTCGATCCCAGCGGTGATCTTACCGACGTTGGCAACATTTGCTCTTGAGAAGGATTTTATATGTAATTCCGATCAACACATTAGCGTTAGCGTCAGCGTTGCTACGGTATACTTCGGATACTAGTGACACTCACGCCTCTTTTGAAATTCTTAGTCAGACTGCGTTCAGGAATAATGCTAGGAAGTTAACATTATTTCCAATCTAGACAAGAATACCAAAAGCATGACTGTCACTATTCCCGGCCACGCCTATTTTTACCGTAACTAGGGATAGGAAAGGAAATGTTGATGTAGTACTTACTCAACGAGAGACCACCGAACCTCCTCATAAGTGAGCACCCGAACTACCTTCATAAGTACTACGGCGTTGGAGTATTGGGTACTGTATTAGGTCAGGATACACCGATGGCGATACAACCAAAAGCATATGATTGTTATATTGAGGAATAAACCCACGATCTTATGCACAGTAAGCAAACGCAGCAGCCGCTAAGCTAGCCGAGCTCCTCAATTTGTTTTCTTAGTACTGTATTAGTGAAATTTATATGGAACATAATGTTACGAACTAAATAAATAAAAAGGAAGGATCTCACCCGAATAATCCTTGAAACTTCCGAATGCAGTTCAGAAAAGTTTCTTGGATCTTGATTAAGGAAAACCGCTACTCGTTGCCAGCCCTCGGAAAGAGATGCATCAAATGCAACAGTCCGGCATCTTTCGGTATCATTATAAGCCGGCTGGATTCACACCATCGTGATCATCTTGGGATCTTCGTTGCCCATCAGCTAAGACAGC